ATAGATTGTTTTCTATGCAAAAATAGTATATTTATAATTTGGAGTTTTTAAATATTGTGCGCTAATGTTTTTTGCTATGATCATAGTTTAAAACCTTGTAAATCAATAGATTAAATAATTTCTCTCTCATCTTATCCAAACCTTTGTAGGTGAAAAGCATCTGTGGAAATTGTTTTTGAAATATTTCTAGACATTTTCAATTGAATTTAGGTCTCCGCCATTCAAATATATATAAATACTATCATCTAATATGACAGCCTTCCAAGACAATGATGCTACCAAGCCCATTTGCTGCTAAAGGTACCAGGTTTATGCAGGTTTTTCAACCATGGGTCGACACGCTAACAATCAGCATTTGGCTTCCTTCCCACTGGCAGAAAAAGCTGGGCCTAACTTTTACCTGGCAAACTACATGACCTCTGTGCCCCCACAGCTATGTATCTGGTGACGCCATCATGCTGGGTTAGCTTTGAAGATGTCACAAGTGCAACAGAAATCAGGAATATAAACAATGGAGAGCAACATGGAAAGAAGCCAGGACGTCGTAAGTGTGATTTATTGTTTTGCTCTTTTATATTTTTGAATCCCTCCCACCAGTACTGCTCCATATTTATTGAATGTGAACAGAGTTGTTACGGCTTGTTAGATCAGAAGCGACTGGCACAGTGTGTGTTGATGCTCGTAGGTTGCACATAATTTAAAAGATGGGGGATCTGGAGTCAACAAGTCATCTCTATGTCTTTCCGTAAAAGTTCACAATTCAAATGTGAAAAAGCTTTCTGGAGAGGTGGCGAAACGTCTTCAAATCTTGAAAACCAAGTCCAGTGGATTTTTTTTTAACTTTTACGGAATGACTATGACCTGGAAGACTGAGAATCTTTATCAGCATCATCTCTATGTCATATGTTTGTTCTGCAATGCCACTGAACCAGGTGAGTCCAATCTGCACAGGTTAATTCACCCTACAGATTGGACTCATCTGGTTCAGTGGCTGGGCAAAACAAACACGTGACATAGAGAGGACTTGTTGGCGCCAAATCCCCCATCTCTGTGTAATTTAGCAGGTCAACTCAGGTCTGGTGTTCCCACAGCATGTCGATCAGGGCTGAGGCGATTTAAACATAGGTCATTCCGGGTCAGTGGGAAAGGGGTATTATTTTTTACAAAGTGCCTTCTACAGATTTATATTGAGACTCTAATGAATGTATTGATTGTCCATTTCACCAGTTTTGGTAGATAGCCATGTCTTTGTACTTTTGCAGATGTGCATTTTTTGGAGGATTCCATAGAGCAGCTTTAAACTGTCTCACAGCATTGCCCTTGACCCGTCTCGTTTTTTGTGCTACATGATGCTCGAGTGTTCAGAGATCACCAGCTTATGTACTGAGAATAAATGACACACTGGTAGCCTCGTCAGTAGCTTCGTGACTTCTAGTGGTAGTTCCGGAGATCCTCTCCTGAGTTATTATCAGTTTTTTCAGTCAGCCCTTTTATCCTAACCTTCCATTACATCACTCTATTACATACAATCACTTTAATGGAGTGGGAAGTGCAAGTACCTGTTAAAAATAGTGATATTGTTATGAACATTATGCAACTTCCCATGCATCTAACTAAATGACACCTTAAGCCTAACCACCCTATACCCTATAGCTGAACCCAAACGCTTTGGGATTAAAAACTTATTGTACATCAAAGCTGCAAATATCTTCAAAGTACAGTGTTTTCTGCTATGGAAAATGTAAAACAGAAATATAAATATGGCCAAATATGTTCAATCAAGGTGTGTCCATTGATTCTGCTGTTGTCAAACTCAGTCCTTAGGACCCCCTGTCCTGTATGCTTTAGGTATTCCCCTGCCTTTACACACCTGACTTAAGTAAATGTGTGATTAGCAGGCCCCTGCAGCCTATGGTGGCTGCTGAGGAGGGAGTGTACTCATTTGATACATGTTTGCTGGAACAGAGACGCATCTAAAACATTCAGGAGAGCGGGTCCAGAGGACCCTGTTTGAAACCCACTGAACTTATTAGCATCACATGTGTCTACAGTATTATAATCAGTGGGTATATAAATATAGAGCTACCGTTAGTCACTGCGGTTTGGTGACATAGTGTGTACCACACTCAATGTGGACCACAGAAAGCCAGGGAAAGAGTTGTCTGCACAGAGATTAGAAATAAAATTATAGACAGGCATGTTAAAAGTAAAGGCTATAATACCATCTCCAAGCAGCCGGGTGTTTCCGTGGCTACAGTTAAACCTAAGTTCGATGGGACTGGAGCCAACCTCCCTAGATGTGGCTTCAGGTGGAAAATAGATTACAAATCAATGAGCCTGATAATAAGAATGGTAACAAAAGAGCCAAGAAAAACATATGAAGAGTCTAAAGGTGAACTTCATTCTTATGGAACATCAGTGTCAGATGGTACCAAGTGTTGTTGTTTAAGCCAAAGTGGACTTACTGGGAGACGACCAAGAAGACCACCATCATTGAAAACAAATCATTAGAAAGTATGACTAGAATTTGCCGAGCTACATGTTGACAAACCACAAAGTTTCTGGGAGAATGTGACACGTAAAGAGGAGACAGAAATTAAACTTTTTGCTAAAACACATCACCTCGTTGTTCTGGGGCTGCGTTGCTTCAACTGACGTAGCGTGTCTTGAATCTCTACAGAGTTCAATAAAATGTCAAAACTATCAAGCGATTATAAAGAGAAATGTGCTCCCCAACGTCAGAAAGCTTGTTGCAGGTCATGGACTTGCAACAGAATAATGACCCAAAGCAAACAGCTAAAAACTGCCCAGAATGGCTAAGAGGAAAAAACTGGACTATTCTTAAGTGGCCTTCTATGAGCACTGACCTAAATCTTATTGAGCATCTTTGGAAGGAGCTGAAACATGACGTCTGGAAAAGGCAACCCTCAAACCTGAGATAACTGGAGCAGTTTGCTCATGAGGACCAAAATACCTTTGCCAGAAATATATATGTATATACTTTGCAACTGTATCTATCTTCCTGTCAGACTCATGACAGTCGTATGTCCGACCAAAATAGACCAGGGGTCTATCTCAGTCGAAGCTATGCAAGCACAGATGCACAAACTCGTGCGTGGTCTGACCAGCCCGAGGTATTCTCATCCAATGTTCTTCGAAAACTAGATCTCATGCAATCCATTTTTTTCTGGCAGATAAGACACTAAATTGTTTCTGGGGTGTTCAGATCTTAATACGGCCTTTACATCTCTACTTTTATTTTTTTCCAAAGTGTTTTTAAACAAGTTCTTTTTATGCACAATAAGTGTATGCAGATGACACACCTGAATTTTCCAACTTTGGGACAATAAATAAATATTTTATAGTACACCAGATACAGAAAAAAAATCATCCCCAAACCCCCCAATTTTTTTTTTTTGATAAAATCTAAGTCCTTTTTGAAACCAAGAGTGAGGATTTTTAAAATCCATTTCTAACAACCTTACCATGACCTGATAAAACTCAGAAAAACAGCAGGTTAATCTGAGGGCAGCACAGGCATTGTAGCGACTCAGCAATTTATCTTCTGCTTTCACCTTTACTTTTTAAAAGGAATGCAGCATTCACTGTGGCTCCTCTTTGCCAACTTACAGTTCAACACTGTACATCTTCTGCCTTTCTCTCTGCCGTTCTTTCCATTAATCTACAGTTTGGCAAAAACTTCTTTATGAATAATTGAAATAAATGACAGTGCCATCTCATCAGGAATTCACACTGAAAGTTTCACCAGAGGAGAAAAGATGAGACCACATAATAAAGAAAAGGTGAGGTGTAGAGAAGACTGAAGCAGTGATGGAGCACTCACAGAGTTCATACACACTGTTAGAGTAAAAAAAATAAAAAAATAAGAATTTTACAAACTCAAGTTTCCTGTG